GGAAGAGATGTTGGAACATATGGAAACAATTAACAATAGGAACACAGAAAGCCATGCAAATAAAGAAATGAAGCAACTATTAATGCCATGAAAATAAAGAGTTGCATAAGAAAGGAGGGATGGTTATAGCTTCTTTCTCTCAGCATTGAACAATATTTCCATCATCATAATGATGTAATAGTGACAACTGTTTTGACCAAAATGTGGTATCTTGTTGGCAGGGGAGGTAGCAGTTGGTGAGGGAATAGGAAGTATAACAGATGGGAGAACTATGTCCTCATATGCTAAGTCAGGATGTCAGTAGATTACATCAGACATTGCTAAGTCAAGAAATACCAGTGTAAACTATAAGGCAGAAAAGTAAGGAAAAAAGCTAGAGAAGCTGAATTTTTCTCTTAGTAAATAAGTAATATTGTTTGATTTTTAAATTTTTAAATTTTTATTTTTTGAGACTGCCTAGGCTGGAGTACAGTGGCATGATCTCAGCTCACTGCAACCTCCGTCTCCCGGGTTCCAGTGATTCTCCTGCCTCAACCTCCTAAGTAGCTGGGATTACAGGAGTGTGCCTCCATGCCTAGCTAATTTTTGTATTTTTTGTAGAGACAGGGTTTCACCACATTGGCCAGGCTTGTCTTGAATTCCTGACCTCAAGTGATCTGCCCGCCTCAGCCTCCCAAAGTGCTGGGATTAGAGGCATGAGCCACCATGCCCAGCTGGTATTTTTAAAAAAGATATGTATGATTATTAGGTTGGTAAGAATAAAAAAATTTACATTGCCATTTTATAAAAAAACAAGCATGTTCATTATTAAGATAAAAACAACTTAGAAGTGGCTTTTAGTTTCTTTTGGACATGGTAGAAGTTATTCTATACACACTCACCAAAATGTCGAAAATTAAAAGGCCAATAACTCCAAATGTTGACAAGGACATACAGCAACCAAAACTCTCACACACTGATGGTGGGGGTGCAAAATGGTACAATCATTTAGGAAAAAGATCTGGCAGTTTTTTTTATGAAACTGAAGATGACTCAGCAAGTGTCATGTATTTACTAAAGAGAAATAAAAATTTATGTTCTGCCCTGATGTGAACACTATACAGACATCACTGTGTACCCCAGAAATACGCAGAATTATTACGTGTCAATTAAAAATGTAAAATACAATAAAAAGCTTAAAAACTATTCCCCAAGAAACTTGTATGTGAATATTCGTGGTGAATTTATTCATAATAGTCCCAAACAAGAAATAGCCCTAGGCTGGGGTGGCTCACGCCTGTAATCCCAGCACTTTGGGAGGCCCAGGTGGACGGATCACCTGAGGTCAGGAGTTCAAGACCAGCCTCGCCAACATGGTGAAATCCCATCTCTACAAAAATACAAAAATTGGCTGGGCCTGATGGCGAATGCCTGTAATCCCAGCTAGTCGAGTGGCTGAGGTGGGAGAATCGCTCGAATTCAGGAGGCAGAGGCTGCAGTGAGCCGGGAATCGCATCACTGCACTCCAGCCTGGGCGACATAGCAAGACTCCATTTTTAAAAAAAGAAAGAAAGAAAGAAAAAAAAAAGAAATAGCCTCAGGTGTCCATCAATAGAAGAATGGATAAACAAAATGGTACATTTGTATAAGTGAATACTACTCAGTGTTCTAAACTGAATTGTGTTGCCTAGAAAGTCATATGTTAAAACCCTAACCTCCAATGTGACTATATTTGGATACAGGGCCTTTAAAGAGGCAACTAAGGTTAAATGAAGTGTCATAAGGGTAGAGCCTCAATTCAATGTGACTGGTGTCTTGATAAGAAGAAGAGACAGCAGGGATATGC